CTTCCTACAGGGAGACCAACTCAACATGCTGAACAACTAACCAGGTTTTATTAGGGAACTATAGCCTCACTATACATTCTATGCTGTAGATTTCCAGAGCTGTAACAGTCCTCCAGGCCTCCTAGAATATATTCCACTGCAAAGTGGAAAAAAATATAAATATTCCTTTTGCTTGTGCTATTGTTGGTGTGAACCTCTCTTTTCAGCAGGTTGCACCACACCATGAGGTCCAAGTGAGGCACTGCCACATCATGGACATTGATGCCAATGACCAGCTGTGCAGGGAAGGTGGTTTTTGCCTTAAACAGAGTAGAACTTTAAGGGAATGAAACCAACTGATGGCTGGTCTTCACAGACAATTCTTAACCAGAGGAGAATCTGGAGCCCCACTTCAGGAAGGGAAACAGGATACAGCAGAGTGGTAATGAGGATGGACAAGTGTTCTGTATGCTTCTCCTGTCTGGAGATAAAGTCTCTAGGACATTTCAAGGTGTAGAGCAGACAGAGCTATATTCTCTTTGCCCTCAGCACTGAGCCTTTACATCCTATCCTTGTACCCTTCATCTGTCCTTCCTAACCTAATTTCTTCTTCCTATCCCCTTTCCTAGCCTATGGCCCTTGTTTCTCACTCAAATATTCGGCATCAGGACTGTCTACTCAGCCAGTGCCAATCCTCCTCCTGCTCCATTCTCTCCTGGCTGACACTTATTTCTCTGAGTTTCCACCTCACAGCCCTAGACCCAAAGCACAGATCCTTTCCCTCGGGATCTTTGTGTGGCTTCCCAAATTATTACTTCCTTTGATGGTCCCCATCCAAATCCGAAATAGAATAATGGAATCATTAAGGATAGAAAATGCCTCCAAGACCAGATCCAGCCTGTGACCCAGAGCCTTGTCACCCAGACCAGAGCACTGAGTGCCACATCCAGGCATTCCTTGGAAACCTTCAGGAATGGGGACTCCACCACCTCCCTGGGCAGCCCCTTCCAATTCCTGACCACCATTTCAGGACATCTTCCTGATGTCCTCTTGTCCTGTCATTAATTCCCTGGAATTTAATATCCCTTGGCCATAAGGACCTGACCCCCGTGGTTGCCCCCTTTGTAATGTTCCCTGCTACCCCTGAAGCATCTCCCAGACTCATTCTCCTCACCTTGACACACCTTCAGACCCTTCCCTCCCTACATTCAACTCCTTATCTCCAAATTTTCATTTTCTTCTCATTTTTTTCTTACCAAGCTGGCTCCTCTCTCACCCATGCTAGAAACATCTCACTTATCCATGGAGTTGGGGCTGTCCAGGGAGGCACACCTGGCCCAGGACAGACTGGGCTCCTCTCCTGTGGCTTCATGTGGGAGCAGGCTCAGGTGGCCTGTGGAGCTGGATCTGCATGTCTCAGACTGCTTTGAAGAGCACTAAGAAGCTCAGGACCACTAAATCAGAAGTGTACTCTTTGCTGATGGAAGAAAAAGACCTCTCTATTGACAGGAAGAATTAAATTGCAGTGAGGCAGATAGCCAAATACAAAGACAGATTGCTATGAAATCCTTATCCTTCAAGGACTTGAGGCAAAAGAACTCTCAGAAAGATTACAGGTATGTCTGAGCCTATTTTGGCACAGAGGAGTGGATTAGGTTTACCCATCAAGGTCTTAATTTCTTAAAAAAGGCTGAATGCAATTTTACAAGCTTTACAAAGTTTGTAATTTTAAAAGTTTCAGAAGATTTTGGTGCAAAAGCAATTTCATAGCAAATTTCAGATTTCTGCTCTGTAACATGACAGTAAACTGTTAAAATAAATTTAAAAAAATAAATCACCAAAATGTCTTTCAGACACACATACCAGTGTGTTCCTCTCTACACTTGTTCTTGGAAATGGGTGAGCTGCTCTGGCTGAAATGTGCCAAAACTTGAGCATGAGTCAGACACCTGGCATGGAAAGCTTCAGCCATTGGTTACATTTTGGCAAATTTTTAAGGAGTTAAAAACATGTCCTAATAATTATAAGAACCAGGCAACTTTAATAATATGCACAGACATGTCTAGAAAATAGAAATAGTTCCCCATTTGGCTCAATGCAGCACACATCTGACACGTTGCCATAAACGCTTCTTTATCTTTTCTACTATTTTTCTTGGCTTAAATATTACAAATGTTAGACTTCAATGCCATATAAAGAGAAGTTAATTGTTATGCAATTTGAAAACAAAAACTCTTTGGCAAGGCAGTGCAGCAAGTAAAGTTCTATTATGAGGAGCAGCAGATCTTATCTATCCTGGGAAAAATCCCAAGCCTATAGACTGATCAATGAAAAACAAAAAGCAGAATTTAGGTAAAAGACATAAGGCCTTCAATAAATTTGTTACCATTTAGATCAAGCCAGAGATTTTGCTGTATTTGGGGAAGATAACAGAGTGTTTCCTCCTTTCCTACTTCACCTAATGGCAATTGCCACTGCAACAGCCACCAGGAAAAACCTCTGCTTTACAGGCACTGGGTAAAGAAGCTTCTGGATCACTGAGTGCTGTTGCCTGTGCACAAGGATTTTAAGGTAAAATAAGAATAACGAAACTTGGATTTACAGGACTGAGGCCTATTAAATTAGAGCAATTCCAAAGAAAATAATGGGGAACAAGGTGGAAAAATTTCCTGAGGTGCCAGCTTGATGGGAATGGAAAAATAAGTTGTCTTTCTTATGATGTGCCAAGTTGGTGAAACTGGAATGTGCTTTGAATAAAAAGGAGAGAAAAAATGGTATCTGTACTAAGAGTGATAAGAAGCCAACTACTTTGATTTTAGAGCCTGGGTGAAAAAGCAATTTAATGTTGTTATCATGCAGAACATAACAAAGATATGCTGGCTATCAGCCTTGCTGGGGTACATGTGCAAAACTGATTCAGTCAAGAAGATGTAAAGTAGTTGGGATGTAAAAAGGGTGCTATAGAGCTGTCTTATGAACTGCTCCCCAGTGAGCAGCAGGAAATCCCACCCATAAACCCTGATTCCTGCACACTGGTGTGACATTCATATCCTCTGAGAATGAAAGCACCTGTGGAACCCACTGCTCTTCACCAGTGACAACAATGAACTCACATTCTCTTTGCTTTATGCAAACATCTTTCCAGCAACACATTTAGTAACTATCTGTAGCTGTTGAGAGGGGAAAACCTAATAAATCCAAGATAATGACTTAAGGAATTAAAAATAATTAGAATTTCACTGAGCAGCTGCAGGATTTTTGTCTGACTCAGCCTAATTATAGCCTGAGCACATCAGAAGGATCTCACCCTATGAGTAGGTCTGAGTTAGGCAGAGAAAGCCCAACAACCTAGACACAGAAAAACATTCACTCTACTGCTTTCCCAAAAGATGCCATGTAGCTCAAATAGCCAATGAAGTCAAACACAGATAAGAGAGAAAATGAAATGGGATGTGTGTATGATGTGTATTTTATAAACTGAACTCTGCAATGCAGGAATGTCTGTAAGAGCAGAAATCTGCTAATTCTGCCTGGTGGCCCATTGCACAATGCACTTTTTTCACTTTTTTTTAAAATTAGGATACCAATGAACCCACAGTCTTACAAATAAAGAGAACATCTGCATCATGAGGCGCTGCTTGGTCATTGATGTGACAAATTTAATTTAAAATTTAATTCCTATTACCCTTCCCAGAACACAAGCATATTTTATAAATAGCTGGGTTTACACCGCGAACTTCCTCTCCAGCATTCTGATCAAATACATCTGCTGTGCCACTTGTATGACATTTCAAAGACTAAGGCTTAAATGCAAACTAACTGATCCCCAGAAAATCCCCGAGATGGAGATCAGTGCTGGCTTCATTCCTCAGAGGAGGCACAGAGTACTCAGGTCTGTCTGACAGATGGTGCCCATACCAGCACCGACTGGGAAAACCAGCAGTGGGCTGATAACAAATGTGATTTGTCAGCTTTCCTCCCTGGCTGGTGGAGCTCACACTTACCTGAGTACAGGGCACACATGAAGCAGGCTTTGGAGGAATTGCTGGAGTACAACAGCCTGGAGTACAGGGTGGCCAGAAAGCCACAGGGCAGAAAGCAAAGCATCACTTTGACCAGCCATAAACTCTAGCTATGCAACTGAGAGTTTGCAGCAACTTCTCCTCTCTGCTGGCACTATTTGATGGGTATAAAAGAGCTGCCAGCTGCCCCTCCTCCCAGAGCTGTCTCTTATTTTCTACACCAGAATGCACAGACTATCCCTGAGCTAGGTTAGAGACACAATTATGAGCTGCAGCTAAAGTACCACCCTTGCTAGGATTTCCACATTTTTAATACAGAAAATTGGATGCAAATTGAAAGAGGGGAGATTTATGTAAGATATTAGGAAGAAATTTTTTGTTGTGAGGAAGGTAAGACACTGGAACAGGTTGGCCAGTGAGGTGGATGCCCCAACCCTGGCCAGTTTGGATATGGCCTTGAGCAAACTGGTCTAGTGGGACATGTCTCTGTACATGGCAGAGAGGGTTGGGACTAGATGATTTTTAAGGTCCATTCTAACCCCTTAATATTCTATGATTCAATTAAATGGTACCAAAAATAAGACATTATTGCAATGTTTTGCAACAGTACAGGTGAGAATTCAGACATGGAGCTCAAAAGAAGCATTTAGCTGAAGTGTGAAGGTAAGTAAAGAGTATGTGTGATCCTGAAATAAAAGCCAAGGATTTCAAAGCCCAGTGTAGTCCTCCTATCAGGCTGCCTGCAAGGGAAACAGACAGAGAGTATCTGCCTATGGCTCTGGAGATCATTATGGTGCAAACCACTGACACATGGCATTTTTTAAGGGAGTATCTTTTTTCTTAGAAAGAGGAGCATGAGGAAGGAAACTAGACTTGTGTGTGCAAAACATAGGGTAGGCCTGCCAACACAACACATATTTGCTAGAAACTGCTCTGTGTTCAGCCAGCAGTGGCATGACCCTGAGGAGATGATGCCAGCTTGGGAAGGAAGGTACTTACGTGTCTCCTGACTTGCGGTAATTCTCGGGACATTCCAAGGACAGGCAGCGGAAGCCGCCCTGGATGTTAAAGCAGGTCTCGTTGAAAGAGCAGTTGTGGCTTTCTGCAACACACTCATCGATATCTGCCAGATGGAAACAGGGGTGTGGGTTAAACACAGGCTTTTCCTCTCCTTGCAGGTGCCAGACAATCACAGAATCACAAGGTTGGAAGAGACCTTCAAGATCGTGGAGTCCAACCCATTCCCTGACACCTCAATTAAACCCTGGCACCCAGTGCCATATCCAGTCTGTTTTTAAACACATCCAGGGATGGTGACTCTACCACCTTCCCGGGCAGACTATTCCAGAACTTTATCACTCTTTCTGTGAAAAACTTTTTCCTAATATCCAAGCTATATTTCCCTTGATGCAGCTTGAGACTGTGTCCTATGGTTCTGTCAGTGCTGCCCGGAGAAAGAGACCAACCCCCAGCTGACTACAGCCGCCTTTCAGGGAGTTGTGGAGAGTGATAAGGTCACTCCTGAGTCTCCCTTTCTCCAGGCTAAACACCCCCAGCTCCCTCAGCCATTCCTCACAGGGTATGTGTTCCAAGCCCCTCTCCAGCCTCGTTGCCCCTCTGGAGGCACTCAAGCATCTCAATGTCTCTCCTAAACTGGGGGACCCAGAACTGAACACAACACTCAAGATGCAGCCAGTATCCTATCAGGTACTGCAAAACATGGAGTGCAATTAAACATTACTGCAGGGTTGCAAGGGGAGGACAGAAGAACAAAAAAGAAGAACATTAACCCAACCAACCAGCAAGAAGAAGAAAAGGAAGAGCAGCAGTGCCACTAAGTGGACAAGACCTAAATATTTGCTGACGTGTTTACAGCAGGATATTTCCTTTTAATGGCTAAACCAACTCACAGCATTGGAATCTTCATTGTAAGAATTTTTTTATAATTAGTTAATAATGTTTTCAAAAGTAGTCTCTGCTGAATTACTTTGTAACTGAAATTTCCTGTGTATTTATCATAAGAGACTGATTTCTTCAGATGTCAAGCTGATGTGTACTGCATTACCTATCATGTCGTAGGAAAGGCATTTTTTAAACACAAAACCTGCTATAACTTGTCAGAATTCTGCAATGCATGAGGTCTCCCTGCAGTTGTTGAACCCACCTTGGCAGTTGCGTGCATTGGGTGCCAGCCTGTAGCCAGTGGAGGGACAAGTGCATTGAAAGCTCCCAGGAATATTAACGCATCTAAAGGAGCAGATATGTCCTCCAGTGGGCAAAGCACATTCATCAATATCTGCAAGAAAAAAAAAAAAACACCACTAATTTTCTATGTGTTCCTGACATTCAGCCCAGTGCACATGTACAGAGCTCCTGCTATGAGCTTCAAATTCAATTTGATGATTCTGATTTCTGGGCAATGAAGAAGATCATCAGATATGTGTGGCTCTAGCCAACAACATCTAAATAGCAAAGACTTTCAGGAATAAATGGAACTCTGAAGAAAATTAAAAGCTATATGAGAGCCCAACAGACAAAGTAATGGATGAGAGCAAGCACTTTACAGTGACATGTGTTGTAGTGCTTTATAAAAGGGAGAGAGAGGAATAGTTTTATTGTTGTTTTTACAAAAGGAAATCACCATTAGATGCTCTGCCCAAGGCCTCACTGTTTAATAAGTCTTGGAGACCTAAGTCCAAGCTCAGGATCTTGTTCATGAGGTCACATCCTCATCTTCCTTGTATTTAAGAATACGCTAGTTCAGAACCAGCCACAAAAAGAGGATATGTAAAATATTACCTAGTAATATCATGTCTTACATATGTAACACATAAATATGCTCATATCTCCACTTGCTGAAGACAAGAAATTCTGGTAGCTCCTCAGGAAAAAGACAAATTTCTGTCAAATTACAAAAGTGTGCCAAGCTACAAGTCAGTGTGAACAGCAAAAATGACACCAACATAGAAAGAGATGCTTCTAGAAAAGGGCATGGGCGGGAGACCTTCATTAAATACAGTTAGAAAATAAAGAAAACAAAGAAAATACTGAAGAGACTCAAATGCTAGAATGAAAAAATTACATGGAATTGCTCATGTTTGTTACAGCAGCAATGAGAAGTGGGCCCCCACCCTCTCCCTGCAGCACCACAGAGCTCACCTTCACAGGAGATGCCATCGATGTCGCTGAGCTGGAACCCCCGGCGGCAATAGCACTGGTAGGAGCCGTACACATTGGCGCACTCTTGACTGCAGGGGTTGCTCTCACACTCGTTCAAATCTGAAAGGCAGAGTTATACACCTGAACCCCAAATTTCTTGCAATGTTCATCACTCCTAATACTGGAATAAGACAAAGTTTTGGAAGGTAGTTGTAATTAAAAAAGGATGGCACACGTCACTGAGTAACCTGGAAATAGGGGACTCTCAGTGTGTTACTCTTAACAGGCAGTATACGTTAATTTTTACTGTGCTGTAATTTCCTCCTGTACTTCAAGGTGTGAGACTGAGAGGGAATCTTTAGGCCAACACTTACATTTTTGTTTCTGGATATCAGCAAGGCTGGTTTTGAAGGTTTTGAACCTGACTGAGTTGAATCACCCTTCAAAGTGCAGCAAAAGCAGACCCATAGATCTTCGCATCACAGAATCACAGAACCATTCAGGCTGGAAAATACCTCCAAAACCATTGAGTTCAGCCTGTGACTAAGCCCCACCTTGCCACCCAGACCAGAGGATTGAGTGCCACATCCAGGCATTCCTCAGACACCTTCAGGAAGGGAGTCCATGAGAGTCCCTGAAGTCCCTCCCAATGTCTCACCACCCTTTCAGAGAAGAAATTCTTCCTGATTCATCCAACCTGAACCTTCCCTGGTGCAGCTTGAGGCTGTGTCATCCTGTCCTGCCAAATGATGCAGTCTAAGGGTGATATATTCAAGCTGTGGGCTGTGGTGGCCTCGACTAAGCACAGCAGCATTCATGTAACCAAAGAGACTGCACTGTGATGATTTCTCATGCCATTTCAGTGCAGTCTTGCAAGGTAAAATAAAAAAAAAACAGTAAATAAAATAAAAAAAAAATTTAAAAGTAAAAGTAAAATAAAAAAATAAAAAAACCAGCTAAAAGGGCAATGAGCTGTGTCACTATAGGACACGAAATAACACAACGTGGAAACGCAGCTCTTCTAAGGTGAAAAGAGATTTTTTAATTTCTGACTCCAACATTTACAGACTTCCAAAAGTGACAGTGGACTGGAGGGTGACAGTGCCACCTGTCCAATGACACTGGACAAACCAACAGTCCATCAAATTTCTCCTCCTCCATAAAAGAATGCAACACGATAAGTTATCTACATAAAGCGCATGAGAAAGTTCGTTACAAGAATGTAAACATCAGAAGCCCTAGAAAAACTTAAAAAATCAGGGCAACAGAGCTGTCTCTCACACTCCATAACTGAGAGCCATACCTTCACAGGATCTGCCATCAGCTGAAAGTTTGAAGCCCATGGTACAAGTGCAGTAGTAGGAGCCAGGAGTATTCTCACACTTGTGAGCACAGAGGCGGCCTGGGTAGCGCCTGCATTCATTGATATCTGCAATGACAAACACACAGAGAGCTCTGTGCATGGGCTGCCCCACTGCAACACCAGTCTGGACAAGAAATGTGATTATCAAAGTTTGATTGTTGTTTTCCTGATTTAAATTTCATACTAAAGAGAGAAGATGCCCTCAAAATGCTCATTTAGAAGCACGCCAGAGTATAATTGGATTAGATCTATACAGGAGAAAGTTGCTTTGATCTTCCAAAGGAATCTTTTGCTGTAGGTGCTTATAAAAATATCACAGAAAACAATTACACTCACTCTCACAACCTTACCTTTTAACAGGATAGCAGATAACATGTTGACAATACTAATACAGCTTCCTTTGAAGTACCAGCAGTTCTTTAATATGGTTTTAAAGCCAGCCAAATAATATATAGCAGTCAATTTTACATTCTGATGACAGAGGCTATGCACAGAGCAGTAACATTCTTTAGAGAGGATCACTCTGTAAGTGCTGTGGCTGCAGGTATTTAGGTTGGTGGTGCAACTTACCAATACAGGTCCTACTGATGACATCAAAGCTATAGCCAGCTTTGCACTCACAGCGATAATTGCCTGGGGCATTGATACAGATGTGCCCTTCTCCACAGGGCTGGCTGGAGGATGAGCACTCGTCCACATCTACAACAAAAAGTGATTCTAAGTACACTTCTACCTATGCAGGCTGAGAGAAGAACATGCTAAGGTTTTTTTTTTGGTCCTCTGGTGGTTATAAAGTGTTTTGGAACAGAAAACAAGATGTTATCATGCTCTCAGCTTTTATGAGATCAGAGTCACAAATCCAAACTATTCGTACCAAATCAGGTTAGCTCTAAGGTGTCCTTAATGTTGATGGATTTGGGATGAACAATGAAGTAATCAGGCAATTCCTTTTTGGAGGAATTCAGTCCAAAATTGTTTTATTATGCATACTCCTATTTGTGGATCAGATTTTCATATAGTCTAAGATGTCTGAGATCCAGAGTCATCAGTAGTGCTTTGATAAAGCACTCACAAAAATTGAAAACACACACAAAAATGCCTGTCTTTGCTAAAACCATCTCAGTTAAAAGCCAGCCAAAGGCATCTATATCTTTCAGTGTTACTTGAATGGCCTCTGTGGGGCATTAAGTTGACCTTCTGTTATCTCTCTGTACTAAGGACATCTGGGACCACACAGCATTGTTCCATTGATGCAGTCACAGCCAATGCCATTTATGTGGGCTGATAATCACTACTCCTCAAAATGTAGGGTTTTGTGAGTTTTATGAAGGACAGAGGGTGGATGCTTGTCATTCTTCACTTGCTGGGACTGCCATGAGGGAAAGAACAGGATCAAGAATTGACTGTGGGAATGACAAAAACCTGGTCAGAGCGCAAGAAACTGCTAGACATAAATTATTTATGTGAGCTATTTTCTTAGAACTGCTTTTTCTTCCCAACTGCCACTCACCTACACATCTTGTTCCATCTTCGTTGAGGTGGTAACCTCGGCCACAGCTGGGTGAGATTCTCTGGCAGGTGAAGGAGCCATCAGTGTTAATACAGATCTGTCCAGCTGGGCACGGCATGTTGGTGCTCAGGCACTCGTTGATATCTACAAGAGCACAAGTCAGTGTAACTCTTTCTGGTCTCAAGAGGTTTGAGGTAAGATGCTCTCATTATGTACATAATGAGAACTTCACATAATGAGTTACATAATGAGAACTTCACATAATGAGTTACATAACGAGAACTTCTCAGAGAAAAGTTCTGCCTGTCGGAGAAGACAACTATTCATGACATTTTAGCTCCACTGATACAAAGCTTCCAGAGTGAAGACTGGGGAGATATAAAAGCCATAGATACCACTGAAAAGCAGTGGAAATTTGGTGTAGAAGTTGTATTTGTTTCAAAGCCTTTAAAAGTCTCTCCTAAATATACAAAGCACTGATCAACAGTTCAGTTACCCAGTTCTGCTTCAGTCTGTGTGTTCTGATGGAGCTCTTAGCTTCTACATGATGATCAGAGTCCCAAATCCAACAACAAAATCCCCTCAACTCCACACAGAGCAGCATTTGATTCCCAGTGCCTGAAGTTAGGCTGTGAAACTGCCTAAATGTTTTGAGCAAATGCATTTAATGTGCCTTTCCTGATGTCCATGGCAGCAAGTTAATCAAAGTCTGCCATGGACCTGGCACTACCTGTGGCAGGCATGTGCTTTCAAAGGGCTTGCTGTGCACAGGCACTGGCCCCCCTTGTTTTAAAGGCTGCAGTTTTGTTTTCAGTCTGTTTCCAGTGTCAGATTTCAGCTCTACAGGAGAACAAGGGGCTGATAATGAGTGCAGCTTGGCAGCAGCTGCTGCTTGGCCAGTTCCACAAGTCCAAGGCTTGCTATGCCAATGGGGGAATTAAAAGTTGAGTTGAGACTTGAAAATAATACTCAAGGGAATAACTGATAGATTTGTAGGTCACATTAGACAAACCCATATAAAGTCTGCTGGAAACCAGTAATTTTAATGCATTTATTTGAAGGCTATAATTCTGGTTTTGGGGAGTCTTGGAAACAAGGCATTGGCCTGGCAAGATTGTCATCAGTCTTTAAAGTGAAACTCCTCTCCACAGTATGTTATAAGTGTCCCATCTTTCTCATACACAGTAAGATTCTTGATGGGCTATAACAAATCTGGAAAGACCTACAAGCCTGTAAAACCAAGCAGACTAATATCAAAGGGTGTTCCAGACAATGCCATAATTACGGCTTTCTCCACAAACCTTTGGCTAAAACCTTTTGGATAGAGTTAGATAAAATATATGACAATTTTTTTACACATTTTTTTTCATATAAAACACCCAAAGACTTAAGCAGCTAACCACCTTAGGTAATGCAATCTCATTAATAATAGGATCTAGTATTCAGATGTTTCATTTAAATGGCTTTCATCTGTCACTCTTACCTATGGGATCAAGGAAAAAGCAATGCATGCACAGATGAAGAACAGCTTGAGCAGTTCAGAACCTACCCAGGGAAAGCACAACTTTTCTCCCAGCAACGTTTGAGCATTCCCCAAGACAAGAGCATGCCTTACCAATACAGTTGCCCAGTGCATCTTGTATAAACCCACTCATGCACTGCAGCTTGGGGCGGCAGCGGAAGGATCCTGGAGTATTCTGACAGATAAAATCGGGGGGGCAGTTATGAGTACCAGTCTCACACTCGTCAATATCTGGTACGTCACAAAAAAAAATTGTTAGCAGGAATTAGACAGGTTCCTTCATTGCATTTCAAACATAAGACATAATTAAAATCATCACATAGATTAATTCTCAGTGGACCTTCCTGGAATTCTGTGATCCAGGATCAATTTGGCTTATTACCTCAAAAAATATCTCAATAAAACCAGATAGGTTAAGATTTTTTTTACAATTCCATTATTAATATTATATATAGGGGGGGTGTCTGTGCATATTATGCTTTACAAGTTTAGTTCTCACAACTAAATGATTCAAAACTATTATAGAGTATCTAAAGCATCACATTCAGCCTTGATTCAGCAGTGTGCTGAATGAAGTCAGGAAGATTTCATTACCCAAGTGCAATTTCAATTTTAGCTTTAGATCCAATGCAGATATTGTTCATTTCTTTCATAAGTGAATTAATTGGCCTTGATTCCCATCCATATTAAGGCTTGCAATATCCCTGCATTATCATGCTTTAAAATGCACATAAATATGACTTCTGATTACTTTAACATTCTACTCCAGTTCAGAATAGACAATAAATATTTCTGAATAAATTATTGTTCACGTAAAGCAGGTAAAGGAGATAACAGCAAATGAGGCTTCACTCAGGAATGTAGTCCTGTCCACATAAAGCAACTAAAATTTAATGTTTGCCAACTGGCAATGGGATGAAATCTCCTAAAGCTATCAAAATACAGAAAATCTCCAGCAAAAGGATAACTCAGCTTTCTCATTCATGCAGTTGATACAACAGTAGCCCCAGAGCTTTGTGCATCTTAAAAAATTAGTGTGGAGACCATGTGAATTAATACTGAACTGGGTTTTGCAGGATTCCACATGTAGCACAGCTCAGTCATGTTACTTGGCATTTAAAAACCATACATGACTATCTTATCACTATTAACATAGCATTAATAATTAACAATATTAACATATCTTACCCAGATAAGAACTTTCTAATATTATTGCAGGTGTAATTTACTATCTGTGCTCCTTTTTTTTCCAACAGAGAAATATGTTAATACTTGCCAGTAAGCTATTTGTTGGCCTAAATCTGATGTTATTCAAATCAATGGAAGTGTTACTTCAAAGGGATCACAGTTACACCATGATACTTTCAAAAGCATTGTGTGATGTTCTGCAGGTTTGGCATTGGAGTTTGTTCATCAGCTTTTTTTATTCAATCTATTTATTATTCATCACTGATCAGTTCCTACAGTAAAGCCTTACCTAAAATCTTGGTTGAGTTAATTTACTCAGTGGAATTAAATTAGTTTTTTTATAAAGCAGTCTAAGCTTAGAGGGAGCAGACATGGTGAAAACCAATTCCACATCAGCTGGAGTTTGCTGCTAATTTATATCCCTGTAAAGGCAGCACGCCAGGTGAAGTTACAGATGCACATAAAAGCATTATTTAAGCTAGATGGAACTTGAAACAAGTAACTTTTTTAGTAAGAAGGACTGTTACCTTTGTGTCCAAACACAGCTAGTCAAGGACAATGGTTTTAACCCCTTCACATTTTTAAATACGTAGGAATGCTGTGATTAGAAATTAATCCCTTTGTAACCTCCTAAGGATAAAAGCTTGCTTTCTTTTTCTAAAAATGCATCTTCCCTCACATTTTCAAACTGAATCACCTGGTTGCTCCACTTGCCACACTTTGTTTCACACTCAAGAATGCGCAAACTTGACTCATTCAGGTGCATCCAAACCATCAGATATGCTCCATGAGCAGGACTAAGGCACTCCACTCACAAATGAACAATCAATCCCACAGACCAGACTGGAGCTAGCCAGGGTAGCTATACAATATCTCCAGGGTATTGTGTATAGTATGAGTTCTGGGCATTGCTAATCACCTGTTTTAGTCCCCAGAGCAGCTCCTAACATGCAACACAAACTGCCAGTGTGAAATGCAGTTATCTCTGCTGGAAATCTTTGCAGCAGCCCCCAGCTGCATGATCTGGTTTTTTGCAAGGTGACAGGTGGGAAATCTGCTGTCCTTGAAGTGTGTGTGTCTCAGTTACCTGAGTATTTACCAAAACCCAAAGAGCATGACATGATGACGTGCTTAGTGTTTAACTCAAGCCAGGAAGATCCCAGTTTCTGTGCACAGGACATACCTTTGCAACGACTGTCATCTGTGAGTTCGTAGCCAGTGCCGCAGCTCGTGTCCCGCTGGCAGCGGAAGGATCCCAATGTATTGACACAGGTCTGTCCAATCCCACAGTTGTGTGTCCCAGTGATACATTCATTAATATCTGCAACAGGCAAAACCATTTACAAGTAAATAAGAGAGAGTAAATAAGAAGCATGATGTCCCTGGGAAGAGATCAGGTCGAAGGCTTGCCGTGAGCACACCTCCAACCAGTCATTCCTCTGAGCATCTGAATTCAAAGGTGGGGATTTGGCCTCACATTCACATCCTGCTACACAGCTGTCACAAGACATTTGGACCCTGTTGGAACCAGGACTTGCTGATACACTGTACTTAAGAAGAGGAAGATTAACTGAGTGAGAGCAGAGACTCAACATCATCTGACTGAGTCTAGCAGTCTATGATGTCTCTGGATATGTCTAAAGCTGTTACAGCCAGGATGTGTATACATGGTCTGCTGGTGGAGTTGGCAGTGTTTGGTTTATGTTGGACTCAATGATCTTTAGGGTCTTTTCCAGCCTCAGAGATTTCATGGTCGGATTATAGTAACTGAATGAATGGGGCAAACTTTCAGAAATCCTTGCCTTGCTCTGCATCCCACCAACATATGTTTGAGGGACTCTCTAAGCCGAGCCGTGACTTTCTACTGCACAGCTACTGATAGACATTTCCTTTGTGAATTTATTTTTCATTTTAACTTTGAATGCATAAGAAAATCTGACATCCACGTGTATTAAATGTAAAAGCTCTTCCTTTTTATATGTCCTACTATGTTAGTGTTAATCTGACCAATCATCAATATTTATTTATATTCTGAAGTTTGTATCTGAGGTACTTAAGATTACATTTCCAGTCACTGACAGAAAAAGGCACTCTTCATCTGGAACACTTGACATCCTTGAACAGCTATGCAGGATGGGCAAGGTGAGCTGTGTCCTGGAAGGGCTCACATCCCTAAGCAACAAGGAGCCTGGGCTCACTAGCTCAGAACCAAATGTCACATTGCACAAGCCTGAAGTCTGTTGCAGTGTGATGGATCTTATTCCAATAGAAGCCAAATGCAACCTCTATCCCAGCCCATTTCATTTGATGCCACAGATCAGAATATGCTGACTTGGAAGGCACCCACAAGGATCATTGAGTCCAGCTCCTGGCCCTGCACAGACACCCCAACAATCCCCCCCTGTGCATCCCTGAGAGCCTTGGCCAAGCCCTCCCGGAGCTCTGGCAGCCTTGGGGCCGTGACCATGCCCTGGGGAGCCTGGGCAGTGCCTGACCACACACAGGGGTGCAGGAAAAACCAGTTCTTCTTCTGGGAGAAGCTAACAATCCTTCCTTGACAGTTGCCATGCCACTCATGGAGTCCAGAACATTAGTTCTTTCTGTCTGTTCTTGTATCCTTAACAAGCTAAAGAATCCTACCCTATTTATTTGTCTGCCTTATCAATAACAATCCACTTTTACAAGAGATAGTAGGTATTCTGTTTTGGTTTTATTCACAACAACAAATTCAAACTCTGCCTCTTCTCCATTCTAAATTCTCCACCTTTTCCACTGACCCTCTCTTAACTTAATTTTTCCACAATTCTCATTTCAACACTCCATTCAAATCAACTTTTTATGACTTCATCTCTTTCCCCAGCTGACATAAGCATATTCTGCTCTCTCCTATATGGGTATTTTTGTATCTATTCTTGCACTTTTAAAACAAGAATGTTTATAATGAAAGCAATGGTTTTATTTCTTTTACCTTCGCAGGTGATACCATCTGGTTGAAGCTGATAGCCAACAAAGCAGGAGCAGACATAGCTGGATCCTGTGTCTCTGCACTGCTGGGAGCAGGGACCACCACCTAATGAATATGTTAAAAGGCCTCATATAATTAAGGGGCTCTTCATAGGAGCTGAAACTAACCATGAATTTACAGGATAATTGATTTATTTAGAAAAGAAATTAATACACATATACAAAAGAAAGGGCTAAGCACTGAAAGATCTAAAAATTAATAAAAAAAGGATTATTGGGACAAGCAGAAAGAGAATACTACAGAGAATTTACACAAAATTTGGCTCATCATTAAGGAAACATTTTCTGACCTTGTTAAAATATAAATGAATATTAAAAATGTTTCATATTCTAAAATTAGAGAAAAGGTTACATAGTTCCAACAACAACTATTTGTTTTAAGGCTGCAGATATTCTAAGTACAAACAGAACCCATGTCCTGTTTTTCAGAATGGCTGGATAGGCATGAAACAAAAGGTGTGAGATAGGCACAATCCATGTGGGAAATTGCAGCTATAAAATGTTATTATAAATAATTTTTTAAGCACAACAATTTCTAATGAGGACAGGGCCTTTAATGCATCACTGAAAATTAGGTGGAACCATAGTTTTGCAGTTGAGATCAACAGCCTCTGCTCTCTGAATCTCTACTAATACTGTGAGCTCCATCCTGACACAGTAAAACCTGTAGTGGGAGTGTTAGAAGAACAGAATTAATTTCCCCATGTTACATGAAGGTGCTCCAAAACAAATTGCTGGAAGTTCCATTTCCTAGGAAATTTAAATTTCCCCTGTTAAAGTTCAGGAAATTAGAAGTTTTGGCATGCCAAGTTTATCAGAAATTATACTGTAGACAGAACCACCAATTGGCAATTAGCAATACCAACCCATCTCCTGCAGGCAGCTGATTAACTGAGAAATACAACAACTGATTACATGAAGAAATAATGCTAGGAAAATATGTAACACATATTTCTGTGTCATCTGCTCAAATTAGCAAGGAGGAGAGGCATTGTTGACTCTAGTTCACTAATGACCTGGTAGATATTCCCAGTCTCTCCAGAGTGTAACAGCTGTAGAACATAGAGCACAGCAAATAATTTTTCAACTGGAATATAAGCCTATTAAATTGACTTTATCCTAAATACATTTCTGAGTTCTGAAATGCTGGCAGAAAACAATGAATCACTGCTGGCTTTGGTTTATAGACATGTAAATCATATGTGACAAGCAATAAATCAGAATACTTAGCAGAGCAATATTCCAAATGCACATTTCCAAGGAGGCAGAGCAGCATCACTAATCAGAACAAGAGCCACGTTTGTCTTCCTTTTGTTCAGGTTATGCATCTCAAATATAAACAAGTTTAATTTAATGTTTAAACACATGTTTAAACATTCAAACACCAAGAGAAGAACAAAAGATGCACATATTTAATATAGGATCACCACATTCTGAAAAATCCAAAGCACTCCACAGGTTCAAGGGTGACACTTCTGAGGCATTACCTCACTTTAGAAGTTAATTAGAAGTTAAATGTATTGTCTCAGCTTCAGTTGGATAAGATGGACTGCACTGTGAGAGACAATGCCTCCCTTGTATCTGGGCACTATTTAGGCATCACATAACAGCCTATTACTCCTTGGAAAGGCTCTTCCTCATGTTTGGGGGTTTTTTTACCCATAACTATCCTAGGCAAAGGGCTTTGGCTAGATCTAATTTGGCTTCACTTTATTGAAAGCAATCACAAAAGAGCTGGCTAGCAGGACTCACCTCTGCAGCCATCATGCAGATAAGGATCTTCTTGGTCCAGTTCCTCCTTTGAAATTTCAACTAAAAAGAGGAGAGATAGGCATTAGAGGAGAAAGCACTTTTCTTCTCAAGGTAAAACACTGTGTGATTGGGATGGAACTCACACCAGGGTTTTGGACAAACCAGAACAAAATTGGAAAACATTATTTACATATTTTACAGCTATTTCTTACTTAAATTTGACATTCAAATGCTCATGGCCATGGGGCATTTTCCATCTGACTGATTCAATATGAAAGTCACACTGTGTTCATAGATTACCTATGGACTGATATTTTCAAACACAGGTTCTTCATGCCAGGCTTTTAACCAGAGCTTAACCTCATTTTCATAAGGCACGTTGTTGGGGCATGCTTGACTTCCACTGGCTTTATAGCAGCTTGGGGTACTCAGAGATTTATTGAGAATCAGATTAAACTCAGTTATTTATTTAGACTTCGTTTCAAAAAGAACTCCACACCTAGGTTTTTGGGCACATAGTTACATCATTCTTTTAAATATACTTATATACTACTACTTTATATATATATATATATATATATATATATATGTATATATATACACACACATACATATATACATATATATATATGTACTTAATATACTTATTGAACTTATTAATACACTTATATAAGTGTATATATATATACACTTTTTTATATATATATATCCTTATATACTGTGGTATTCCTGCCTCGTGTACATATTCCAAGAGTCCATTCTCTCCACATGAGGACATACAAGGGCCAAACACATCCTTGAACCCACTGCATCCCCAAAGAACCAGCTAATGGACTTTCTCCAACACAGGGGCGAAGGTAGGGTGCAAAAACATGATTCCAAAATACTCTGCTTGCTGACTTGGAAACTTAGGCTTGTTTCAGTGACTGTGCATGAGCCCATTCCAGCAGCAGTCACTTACAAGCAAGTGATGTGAGGTCACACAGAGGATGTGAAAGCAGTGTTTGTGCAATGGCACAAGGCTGGGTTGGTTAACTGAGTTCCTCAAGCCATAGGGGCATTATTCAATTTCAATTTCAGTTATGCAGAGCTGATGGAATCAGTTTGCCCAAGTCTGGTTGGATTTGGTACAGGCCTCTGGGGACACAACCCCAGAGATCACAAAATTCATTAGGTTGGAAAAGACCTCCAAGACCATCAAGTGTGACCTGTGGGCAACACTTTATATGACCTGGAGAGCCAGCTTGCCTTACCCCTGCAGCAGAATGCCCTTCATGCACTGCTATTGTCACAACAAACACAAGGTTCTAGTCCAGAAATCTGCCTTGCAAAATAGAGCCTCATCTCCCTTTCACAATGAACCAAAGTGTCTATTTGTGTTGTTTGCTCTGCCTTCCTACAAGCATTTTTTATTATCAATGGGTTTATTTGATGTTGGTTCAAACACCTGCTTGTTTCTTAGCTGAATGATGAGAACATTGTCCTGCCCCAGCTTTGCAGTGCATAGTGGCTCTTATGTGTGCCACAATAACCATAATTATGATTGCTGTGTGTGTCACTTGCCCAAAAAAGGCAAGCAGGGAAATACTCTGCCATGCTCACAGTTCCCATAATGGCATATTTCTCATGCCATACAGCTACAGTGAGCATGCAAATTTCTGTCATTAGCAGAAATGTCTGATTACAAGGGATCTAATAGTCCAGTCACCTCAGCCAGTGCTAATGGATGGGGCAATTCCCCTCCTGAGACAAGGGCACACACACAGAGAAACTGCCCAGAAGGGCATTTCCAGATGTTACCTCAGAAGGGGGACACTGAGACAAGCCAGGCTGGAAAGACCTGGAACAACTCTGATAATGTGCTGGCTCAAACAGATCAGTGCAAGCTTTTGTGAAGGGGCTTGTGTTTAAATGATGGATTGGGATGATGTCCCCCAAAATCTGTGGCTTGTGATCTGCCAGCCAGATGGTGTTTTCAGTGCTCAGCAGCCCATGAGGGAGGCAACACCACAGATCATGACCTCTCTGCATTTCAGGTCTGTCTAAGAGAAAAAGGGGGGAAAAAACCCCAAACAAATGAAAGTCTATAAGGGTCAGTCTATACCCGTTCATCCTCTTCAGCTCTGTGGACTAGGTATGGATAAGGATGTCAGGAGCATCTAGGTAGCCTTCTTTTTGGTAATAAAAGAAACATTTTCCAAACTTCCTGGAGATCTTAGTTGTCCCAGGCAGTCCAGGCATTTCAAATACTCCTGGTTTGTGGTCATTTGCCCCTCCCATAATGGCAACATTTGCATTCTACTGAGTTGGCAAGGGCCCTCTAGCTTTTCAACGCAATTCTAAGAATTGTTTGTTGATTTTCATTTTAATTAAACATTTTTCAGTGGGCAAAATGCCATTAAAATTAATAGCTTATATTCAGTTTCCAAGGTAAGATCATTAGTTCCCAAAATAAGCTCTTGTACATTTAAGTTTGATGCCAGAAACTGACCTCTTTCTGCCTCTTATTTTCAGCAACAGCCTTTCAGCTGTCACTAGCCAAAAAAATGAGCTCCCAAACATGCATCATTAAATTACTCAGATGAGATGTCAAATTAGAGAAATTCCAACAGAAATAATTTAAAGTGAAAACACTCCTTGCACCCTGTATCATTTTGTGTCTCACTCTTTTAAGTATGCAATAAAATACCTGGCTCTTTTTTGGGAGGATAATCACTGATGGACAGATCAATGCCTTCTTGGCCTTTCCCACAGCAGGTCCTGAAGACAATTCCACACTGATATCCCATCTTCGGGTTGGGCTCACAGCTCTGTCCTTGAACTTGGGCAGCCTTTCCCAGCAAACAACAGTAACAACATGTCTGTTAAAAAGAAAATGAAAATATTAACAAAGTCAATGAGCTTTGAAAATTACGTCAGTAATTATCTCACCTTGGCACTGACGGAAAATTTTCTACAAACTCTTCAAGAGCAGCACAGAAGCAAGGGCAGGACAAGTTAATCCTGTGGAGGCTTCCTTTATTTTAAATTGAGAAGATGCTGCTGATTTATTCAGTTTTCTGCCTTGCTGTCAGAAAGCAGCAAAAGTATTTTGTTCTCTGGAACTGGTGTCTGACAATTGCTACTGTCACACGAAAGCAGATTTAAGCTTTTTTTAATTAGTTTTGTCTTCCAGAATCTATTTTGCTTGAAGAAAGTTGCCTGCACCATTACACAGAACAGATGGAACATAAAATAACTAAACTTTCAACCAAATTTCTATAGTTTGGCGCTTTAAGCACCACACCCGCTAAAAAGAAGGCAACGATGAAATGCTTTGCATTACTTTGAGATGTCTATCCCTGCCTCTATTCTAATTTTTCCTTTGTAAGGAATTACATGTTTCTCTCCCTGCACTGAACTGAAAGGCACTTTCAAAACTTAGAGCAGCATGAAGTCAAGACAGTAACAGCATCCTGAAGTATGTAAGTTTTCCATTTTGTATCATGCCATTAAATACACAACAGAAACTGTTCTGTGCTGCAGGGCTGGAGCTCCTCTATCCTGGCCTCATCTCCTGGGGTGTTGTTTCCATGCCCTCCCAGTCTCAAGGATGCATTTTTCCCTTATTTACTCTTGTTTGGTGAGATGGTCCCTACTGCCCAATTTTTTTACCAGTTCCTCCAACTACTCCCATCCAGTGGCAGATTCTCCAGTTCATCCTATTATGTCTGGGATAATTCCATCTTTTCTGGTGACTTTAGAAATAAACCCTCGATGATTGAAACATTTCACAATATTTATTCTAACATATCAAGCAATTCCCTGAGGCACCCTTCTCAAAGTTCTTAAAATTGTCATCACTTCATCTCAAAGTGATGATAATTTTGATAATATTCAATTTTCCCAACCATAAATTAGAAGACAAAAATATGAAAGTGAGCTAAAGATTCATTACTTGACTTAACCCTGCATATTTTTTAGAACCAAAACTTATTTAAGCTATTGAATAGGATGATGCCTTGACAAATACTGACATTATATAATTCTGGTACGCTCACTGGCTTCTGCTGGAAGACTCAGTCCACTTCTTTATCTTGTCACAGGATATTCATATTGGGAGTTATAGAGTTTCTCTGGAAATTTTTTAAGAGTGATCAATTATTTTGCCCTTTTTTGAACTGTTGAACAGCCTTAAATTCCTTATTTCTTTTAGGCTGAGCCACCACTTGAAAAGCCTCTGTCTCCAGCTCGTGTGAAACTTCAAGTACAGAACTTGCTAAATCTTGCAATATCTGTAAGACACTGTATCTTTAATTAACATAATTGTGCGCCCTGAACCATTTGTTCCAACCCATATTTATTTTAACTGTGCATGATATATCTTGATTTAACATCTTGATAATGAGAATTATTTATTCTATACTTCAGCCAAAATGATCCAGAGATGGAAAGCGCCATGTGTTATCTTAAGTGGTGTGCTGGGTTTGCACAGCCTGGTTTTTGGTAGTGAGGGGGACACAGAGGTGTCCTTCTCCTGTGAGAAGCTGCTGGAAGCTCCCACCATGTCCAGCAGAGCCAACCTCTGATGGCTCTGAAGATGGACATGCCACTGGCCAAGGCTGGGCCAATTAGAGATGATGGTGACACCTCTGTGATAACATAATTGAGAAGACAATCAAAACAGAGATAGTGGGGCAGTTTTAATTCCAGATAAAGAAGAGGAGGAGGTGAGAATGTGTAAGGTAACAACATGGAGACACTGAGGGCAGAGGAGAAGGAGGGGCAGGAGGTGCTCCAGGAGCCAGAGCCAAGATTCCTCTGCAGTTGTGGTGATGACCAACAATCAAGTTGTTATTCTACCCTTTCACTGCCTGTAGGCCTCAGTCACCCCAATAATAATACCAAAATATTCTCCTCTGGTATTACCAAAATCCCATGCAGCTTCCAAACCATGCCTTGCTCCCCATGTTTGAATAGACAGCTGTGTCCTACCTGAATTCCTATGATCCCTTCACTGCCTTCTCACAGAAAGGAATAAAGGAGTAAATTACACTTGAGAAATTTGAAGATATAATTTTTGGTGTGACTAGGAAGCACCTGCAGTTCCGTAGATTAATAAGGTCTTTTGATTAGGTAAGGTTTACAATAGTTTTACAATATTTCTTATTATTTATGTTTGGATTTAAGTTGTCAGTTTTGGTGTGAATCCTGTAGTAACACTGCTTTTGGTATCTGTCCACAAGAGGTCTCTCCCTTGCTGAAATCCATTAGATGCTAACCAAAACCCCACTAATAACTCAGAGGAATTTTCCAGAACTCTTTAAGAGCTAAACTTCTCAAAGAGAAGGACACTGCAAACAACTGTAACAGAGACATGAGGTGCAGGCAGGAAAAAAACCATTCATGTGCAGCAAACTGCGTCAAATGACCTTCAGGGCCAACCCTAAATAACCTCAATTCCACTTCTTGGAGACAAACAGGAGTATCTCTGTGTCGGAACCCAGGACATTCCTCTGACTGCCCTGGAGGACTCGAGACCCTGGCAAGGGGCTCAGAGACCTTGGCACAGAGTCAAAAACACCTGTGCCTTCGATTTCTGCCCAAGGAAACAATTACCAACTTTGTGTGAAGATTTACAAGCCACAAGAATTTGAGTAAAATGATAGTTAATTTGTCACAGGGTGAAAAAGTAGAATTTTGTGTATTTAGAATGGGGGTTCAAGAAGCAAGATGGAGGAATCTGGGTGTGTCCTGTCCTTCTTTTCCTTCTTCTTGTCCTCCATCTTCTGCTGGGAGTGTGACACTGTTTGATTGGTTTAGAGTAGAGACAGACTGTCTGACATAGGTGATAGGTATTGGAAAATTATTGTAAATAAAGTACACGCAGTTTGTAGTATAAAAAGTTAACACCATCCCAAGGGCAGCCACTGTGCAACAACCTGACCTGACGGACAGATCTCAGCAGGTCAGAGAAGGAATGTAATGGATAAGAGAAAATAAACAACCTTCAAAAGCAGAACCAACAAATCTCGACTTCTTCGACGGTCACGAAGGGAAAAAAGACTCTTTAATACCTTGGGAGCCATTTCAGCAACACAAAACTCGAGATCTCTGATGTCTCACCTTGAAGTATTCGGCCTCACAGGTGGAATTTTTGGCAATATGAGAGTCGCACTCCTCACGCGCGTTGGCAAATTCAACCCCGTCGGAGCAGGACTGCTTCTCCAGCTGGCTGCGGCAGCACTGCACCTGGGTCATGCTGCAGCAGCAGGGAAGAAAGGGGAGAAAAATGTCTCATATTGGTCAGGAACACATGATGCAACATTTGAGAATTAGTACTCCTACTAGTTATATGGAAAGGGGTTTCAGTGGGAGCACTGTTACAACACAAAGATATTCTCTGGGAGGAGAGAGATTGTCTGTGCGACATGGTTAGTGTGGTTTCATTGCTGATCTACCTTGCAGTCTGTCCTAGCAACTTTTTTAAACTTCAACCACACCTGCCTCAGGACTCAAGGAACTCAGGGCTGCATTCTGGCATGTTTTGTGACAGCTGGTGGCTGAGGAGGCTGATGGAAGGGAGAAGTCATTGTATTTGTGGGGTCCCTCGTGGCAGGAAGGAATGATGAATCTGACTCCATGTTCTCAGAAGGCTAATTTATCATTTTATGATACTATATTATATTAAAGAATACTAAACTATACTAAAGAATACAGAAAGGATACTTACAGAAAGCTACAAAGATAATAATGAAAACTCGTGACTCTCTCCAGAGCCTTGACACAGCTTGGCCCTGATTGGCCAATGAGTCAAAACAACTCACACCAGAAATGCAAAGAAACAATCACCTGTGGGTAAACAATCTCCAAACACATTCCAAGGGAGCAAAACACAGGAGAAGCAAATCAGACAATTATTGTTTTCCTTTTTCTCTGAGGCTTCTCAGCTTCCCAGGAGAAAAATCCTGGGCAAAGGGATTTTTCAGAAAATATTAATGTGACAAGAAGTCAGTCCCTGGATCTTGTGAAAACCTGCAATCCCAGTCTACCCCTGCCCCAAATCAACAGGTATGGCATGTGGAAGGAAGATCAGAGCATTGTTCTGTGGGACACCTGGAGATCATGGAGAAAAATGAAGATACCAAGGGAAGTCACATTGAGAAACAGCAGAGTGTATTGCAAGCAAGAGGAAAAGAAAGACAAGGGAAAGAAAAGTATTACAGGGCAGGGAGATGCAGAGAGGAGACAGAATAAAATTGTGCAGAAAACTTAGTTTTGTTACACTGCTCATTAAATCACTCTATTTTATCTCAGTGTCAGTGAAAAAACTGGAAACTTGTTCCTGCAGGGGGAAAAAATCTGCATGAGGAGGCTTTAAACTCCTCCAGTCTGGTTACTGCTGTCACATGAATACAAAGCCCAGGGAAGACTGGCTTTGTATTTCTATTACTATATTTCTATTCCTATATATTTCTATATATTTCTATATATTTTTCTAATATTTCTATATATTTCTATTACTATTTGTATTACTATTCTCCTCTCCCCACTCTGCTTTTATGTGTAACTCTGCTTTGCTGGGTAGTTTTGTGGATAAAGCTCTTCACCACTACTTTCTGTTACAGACACTGAGAAACAGAGGAAAAAATCCCCTGTACTTCTGAAAATCCCCTATTCCACTGCTGGAAATTTGATAATATCAGGAAAAGGAGTGGGTTAGTGGAACCACTGAACTACAGGCTTCTCCCACCATCACCTGAGATAAATGGCTTACCATGCATCCCCTCTGGAGGAGCTTTCCTGCTCTCCAGGACCATGGCATGACCTTTCAGCTCTCAGGTGGTATCAGGGACTCCCTCTGCTCTAAGGCCAGGCAAAAGCAGGGGACATGTGGGGACTGGGCTCAGATTATGGATCTCTGTGCATGTGGGTGAGGCCAGCTTGTCCAGACACATTCCTGAAGATTGCAATTCCTATTTATTAGATTGTACATGGATCATTTACAATCCAAACCACTCTAGAATTATACAGTTCCATCATTAGTAATGGTCTGACTGTGCAGTTCCCTCTTGGACAAAAACAGCCATGGTATTTCAATGCATAGGAACTAAAAGCCAGGATAAATTCATGAACAAATTATTCAAAAATGAACTCTAAAAGCAATTATAGCAAGAAGTTAAGCCCAGGACAGTAACTTTATTTGGCAGGATATTTGAAGTTTTTGATATCTGATTTAGTTCCAGTTTGGAAGAATATGTAGCTTTTTTGTTGCTGAAATTCCCTCTGAAGCAGAATTTCCATTCCCTGCCCAGCTCTGGGGTGGTCTGACTTTCAGGGCTTTGGAAGCCTCTAAAAACTGAACTCCAAGCCCAAGAGTGTGGGAGCTGAGACTTTCCAGCCTCTTTACCCCTTCAGATTCTCTTGAGGAGCTAGATATGTCAGCCACAGACAAGCAAACAAATAAACAAACAACAGCAGTCTTTCAGTAGATCTGTTTGATTCCTGGTGTGGCTTTGTTTTTTTCAAACACCAGCCAACTCTTTGAAATCTCTGAAAAACAGGCTATTTCAACCAAAACAAGAAAGTTTCTTAAAATGTTTCCCACAGCTGTATTCATAAGTCATGTGGTCCACCCCAACTGTAACAAGGAATTAAACATCGACTGGATACTAGATTAAAATACCATTTGTTCATTCTGAGAACAACAACAATAAAATCACACTTCATTGCCCAAATCCTACAGCCCAGTTGCACTGGTAGCAAATATTGCTGGGGACTCCAAACACCAGTGTGGCAGTAACAGAGGCAGAAATCCTTGAAAGATGGCAGAGGAAGATGCTGGAAATACCTGCACAGTGCTGGTCCTTCTTTTCCCTCTGCACACCAGCCCGGGTGCTGCTGTTTGCCAGGGATCACCAAACCAGCCAGGCAGGCTCCAGGGAGTTTGGGATGAGCAGGGTCTCTCCCTGCATTCCCTAAGTCACAGGGGTCTCCCTGGATGACAGCCTCAGCTCATACCTGCTCCCTTTGTGCTCCCCAGCAAGGTGAAGCAGCCAACAGAATATTTAGATTTGTCTCTTGGTGTTATACCATTAACAGTCTGTGGACCATTAAAATATTGGTCCCTAAAAATAGAGAAAATAAAGTAGTACCTTTCTATGAATCTGTTTTTTTTTTAATTAGGAGTAATACTTTAAAAAGCCAAAAGCTGCTTTTTCTTTATCTGCCTTATTCTGACTTTCAGTTAAAAGAGAGCAATAGAATTTTTCTGAAGATAAACAGCTATTCACAATATGGCAGATACTGTATAACACTAAATATTCAATCTTTAACTGATTGTTATATTAGTGATAAGTGATATTCATTCAGGATGTTCCAGGCAAAATCATGTATTTTTGAAGGATGAATTTTATTCATGGCTCACTAGTGAACAAAAGTCACCAAGACATTGAAAAAATCCTTATTCATTGTTTCAGATGTTGATCTAAAAGTTATTTCACTATTAGATAACTTGATTATAAATCAAGTTTAAGAAATCATGTTTTATATTCTCACTTTTACTTTCTGTTAAAACTTAACCAATGTGGCTGATTTTCATGGAGTTAATTTCCAAATTAAAATCTACACACCCACTTACATCCACCATATTTTCACATTTATTATTCTCCTGTGTAGAGGATGCACTCCTAAACCAGCACAGATTCCATAATCATCTATTTTTAATTTCTCTTCTTTTCACAAAAGCATTAAAATTTAACTTTTTTTTTCTGAAAACAATGTTTTCTCAATCTACTTTTGTTACCCTCTGTCTCTCTCATTCTACTTCCTTCAAGCTATGTCAGTGCTATTCATGTGTACAGTGGAAGGGTCTTGGACAAAATATCAAAATCAAAAATAATGATTTTGCAAAAACAAGCTAGGTCTTCCAGCCTTGGATCGTTCAGTGTGCATTCTTGCAGCACTAGTAAATAATGCTATTCCTGGTGTCATTCCAGAAAGGCTACACATTGTTAAAGGCATGCAAATACCATATGGAGACAGACTGTTTCTGGCAAGGGAATTAAGTTCACTTGCTAAGAGCTCTGTGCAGGGGAAACTCTTCACTTAGAAAGGAAGAAGACTTATTGGACAGGTTGAGTTCCAAAATTAACTGGCAGCTCTTTCCAGCTGCCTTGAGTTCAACCACACCACAGGAAAATGAATGAATGGGAAAAGACCCACTGCGATGACAGCCAGAGATATTACTCATTAAAATTCTACACTTGTATTAACTGAGCCACAGAGACACAGAGATAAACACTGACATTGTCCAGAGAGATAATGCAGTGAGATAAAATCATGTGTGGGGCAAGAAACCACAGTGAGAGATTGCAGACATTGGGCCCAGAGCCTTGTTTCAGCTGAAAGCTGGAGCAAGAGCAACCAGAAGGATCTTTGGAACTTGTGGACTTCACACAGGGTCTGGCTCACCTTGTGTAGGACAAAAAAGTGAGTATGGCTGTAGTGTGAGCCACACCACACTCAGTGAGTGACACTGACACAGCTGGTTCCCTCAGGAACCACAAGGGACTTGGGGAGATGAGCCCTAAAATGTGCCGGAACCCAGAGCTGTCACCTTGTGACATGGCAGATGTGAGAATGACAGGAGAGCAATTCTTTCTGTGGAAGACATTTTCCCCTTGAGGGTGGTGGGAGAGTGGCACAGGGTGCCCAGAGAAGCTGTGGCTGGCCCATCCCTGGAAGTGCCCTAGGCCAGGTTGGAAAAGAGAAGGCTCTGGGGTGACATAAGTGCCCTTTCCAGTACCTAAAGGGAGCCCAGAAGAAAGATGGAGAGAGACTGTTTACAAGGGCTGGGAGTGACAGGACAAAGGGGAATGGTTTCAAACTGACAGAGAGTAGGTTTAGATTGGATATTAGGAAGAAATTCTCTGCTGTGAGGGTGATGAGGCCCTGGCACAGGGTGCCCAGAGAAGCTGTGGCTGCCCCATCCCTGGAAGTGCCCAAGGCCAGGTTGGACAGGACTTGGAGCAGCCTGAGATAGTGAAAGGTGTCCCTGCCATGGAAGGGGTTGGAATTGGATGGTCTCTAAAGTCCCTTCCAACCCGAACCATTCCATGGTTCTATGATCACTATGGATGTATTTTAAATGTCTGGGAAACAGCCAAGGGGATGCAACTCCAACTCAATGAGGCAGGTGGTTCCTCACACAAGAGACTCTAGCAGTGGGCTTCCTTTGGGGGAGGGACTGAATCTGAAGCACCACTGCTATTACTACTCTAAAGAGATGATTCAAAGCAAGCTTGGAAATTCTTGTAAAGCATACTGGGGAAAGCACTCACAGCCATTCTCTTCTGTGTTGCACAGTCTTTGCACAGTAACTGCAGGAAATCCCTTTTATTTCAGGAAATATCAAGCCTGCTCACTTCAGAATGTGTTTTCCCCTTATATCCACCTGCTAACCTTGCCAACTGAAGCTGAAATGTGCAGGGCAAACAATTCCCCCTGGCACCAAGGGATATGGCTTTCCACCCCCCCACTTTTCTAGAGCACTCATGTCAGATGTTCAACCCTTCACTGGATGGTCAGGGGATCCCAGCTGGGATTAAACCACCGCAGGAATGCTGACATGTGCCCCAGCAGCTCCCACTTCATGCAGGAGTCTGAGTAGGAACCAAGTCCTTTTGAAAATCTGTGACCTATCTTGTTTCTCAAGCCTCTATTCTCACCTGCCTAGACCTCAGCAGGGGCAATGAATCCAGCTCTGTTCCTGCCTTTGTGCAGCAGGAATAAATGTAAAATATCAGTGCCAGTACCCTAAATGTGCCTTCAAAAAGAATCATGCTCCCTCAGCACTGATTCTTACAGTTACACCAGCAATTAGGAGCAGAATTTGGCCCTGACCTTTGTGTCTGAAATGGCATCCTAAAGTGATTTTTCTATACCTCTCGCAGATATGCCAGTTTGCAATTATAACTGGAGTAAAATAATATTGATGTTAAAAAAAGTGCTCCAAGGTGCCAATTTTACTTAGTCATTTTTAGAATGAAGCTAAACTTCATGGGGAGCATGCAGTCAAGAATAAATGCAATGAAACTGAGTTTATCAACTTAAGGTTTTGTCAAGAAGTACCCATACCTCTCATAGACTATGTGCCTTTTATTTTACTAGTATAATTTTCTTAACTGCATCTCAGTTATGCACAAAAGCTAGATCATTAGTGAGTTTTTTCTCCAGCTCCTATGAAGTCCAAGTGAGTCTCTAAAATTAAAATATTTTGAAGAATAAATTATTTGCAGCAGAATCTCAACTCATATTAATCAAATGATTATTATATCTTCAAGATACTCAGACTTAGATTGTTCAATAAACTTGGTTTCCTGTTTTTCCTGCCTCTGTTTTGTCTGTAATTCTTATGACTCCTCAAGTATTTCAGAAATTGGCATTTATTTCCTATCTGTCAATTCTTCTGTGTAAGAGGTTGCTTTTGATGCCAGTATAAATGCAAAAGTCAGAAAACACAGACTGACTTCCCTGGAAGACACATTCCTTCTGTAATAAAGATCAACTCAACCCTTATATAATTATTACCAAGGCTAAATCACACAGCAATCCATTTGAGTAGGGGGGAGGGAAGCAAAGTGTTTTAAATACAAATTTCTCTGTGGAGCTGCCTCTCAAACTACTAGTTGTTTGCCCCACTAATTAAATGTAACAAGTGCATGTAACAGCAGAAAATAATGCAAATGATCATTGACATAAAAACTACAAATGCCACAATAACATAAGAGATGCAGTAGAATCAAAATCTTAACTAAATATTTGCTTGCATTATTTCATTTAGTAGATTACCAACAGAAATATCCTATCAATTCTCAGCAGAATTAAGAAATCTGTATATTAACTGAGGGGTTCCATTTTGTACAGTCAAATACATTTCATAGAATCATAGAAACACATAATGGTTTGGGTTGGAGGTGGCCTCAAAGCTCATCTCATGGGCTGGGACACCTTTCACTATCCCAGGTTACTCCCAGCCCCATCCAACCTGGCCTTGGGCACTTTCAGGGATGGGGCAGCCACAGCTTCGCTGGGAAACCTGTTCCAGGGCCTCACCACCCTCACAGGGAAGAATTTCTTCCTAATATCCAATCTAAACCTGCTCTCTGTCAGTTTGAAGCCCTTGTAAATAGTCTTTTTCTATCTTTCTTGTAGGCTCCTTTCCTAAGCTGAGCTAATAAGGAATCTCCTTGAATCACTCTGTGGGGGAACTTAAAGCTTAAATCAGCTGAGGACTGCAGGACAATTACAATCCTGTGTAGCACCACAGAAGGCTGCCTCACACATGTACTTATGATTTATCCCACATAAAGTACACATATGTACTCATTCAAACCATAGATTGGTCATGTGCAGGATCTGCTGTGCTCCTTTATAAACATTTGCCCTGAAAGGTGGCCAGATCCACAGCCAGCTTGGTGACATCAGTGCAGCCATTCTGAGGCGTCCTCAGGCAGAGCAGAGTGGGAAAACCTCTGAGTAAGAGACTGTACATGCCACATAGGTCAGGGTGGGTGAATCCAAGGTAGACTGACACCAAAAATTAAAAGGACTGGATTGTATGAAAAGTAGGTACTCGGGAAGAACTCCCCAAGGCTACATATGGACTTGAAAAGCTGGGATATAAGAGTTGAAAAGCTGGGATATAAGAGTTGGTGCTTCATCTTCTAAGTTCATCATCCAATACCTGCCATTCCTATGGTTTCACATTAGAGTATAAGCTGTGTTTTAATATATAATATGTAACTGTGTACCTGCATTCTCTAGACTCGGATATTAATGGCAGAGAAGCACATATTCTGTTTGTGACTGCCCATTCAACACCCTTGTCACAGCATTCTTCCACTGACAGATCTGCAGAAATGAGGAAAGAGAGAAAAACACAATATATTTAATACAATTTTAAGAAGTGGTGTTGCATCTGCTAGTTAAAAAACACCCAACCAAACACAAGCAAGTCATTTTTTCCCTCCCTGACTTACAGACAGGACAGGGCACCCATACAAAAAGCATCCATGGTCCAAGCAAGCACCTGTCAGCACCTTGCAATAAAGCCCAGTGCTGCAGGTTTTCCTTTCTTGGTGAAGCAAACTGCATTTTCTCCTGACATTCCACACAAAGACACACTGATACACTGGCAGAAACCAGTTCAGATAGTCCTGCCAAACAAAAGAATCTTTGGGATTGCACTCCTTTATTATCAAAAGCAGAAGTAGCAAAAAGCAACCTTTTAAAATCCCGAAGAATACGGGATAAAACAAATACCTGATATGAAAAGCAAATGAAACAAATTACAAGCAAATTTGCAGAACTATTTTTTTCCTGAGGTTATTCTGTTTTCAGTTAGTCTGTTTTCAATATTTTACTCACAAGTATGTCTGTGCAAATGCAAAAGTACTGCAGAGGGGAACAAAAAGGTATATGGTGTTTTGATCACTTAACATATGAAAGAAAAATTAATCCTGTTACCAACTTATACCAACACTGAAACTAAGGAGAACCACCCCAAAGACAATTATTTGTGTAGAGTATATTTTTGCAAGCTTCTAATTTAATAAAACTGAATACAGTTAATGAACTGACAAGCACTACAGGTTTGCTTCGTGTTCCAAGTGCAAAAGTTCACTGCACAGCAGGTGTATCAGAACTTGGAATAAAACAGGAGTCACACTTTTCTATTAACTGTCTTGTGGTCTGAACACTGAACAGCTCCTTGTGTAACAAATACGCAAACTATGTGTGAAAACCCTGTCTGGTTCTCCAGAGGGACAGCTTTCCAATGATTTCTCCCTGTTTCTTAAGTTTTTTGACTGATGGCCCTGACAGGTTTCACCCACAAGTGCTGAGGGAGAGGGATGATGACATTGCCAGGTTACACAAAATGATCTTGGAGCTCATGGAGAATGAGAGGAGTTCCTGAAGGATGAAGGAGAACAAGTGTCTCCCTGACTTCAAGAAGGACAAGAGAGAAGATCTGGGAAACTACAAGCTGGTCAACCTCTTACCAGAAACAGAATCTCTTACAGAATCACAGAATCATTCAGGTTGGAAAAGACCTCTGAGATCATCAAGGAATTCACATTCCTTGAAGGGGAAGGCAGATAAAAACACATAGAGAAGTTAATTCCCTCCAGTAATTCAGGCCTTTTTTTGCAGGGAACAACCTATATTCCTAATGATTATAATTCGAAGCAAAAAGGAACGAGTTAAGTGAGGTTTTAGGATGCATCAGTCATTTTGAGGTAGGTACTCTCAAGGCAGTTACCAATTCTATAGTGCAAAGCTCTGTAGTATTGCACAGGATTCTGGCTTTCCCTGCTTAGGGAAGATTACATCAAAATGAAAAACGTGTAAAGAAAGATTAGGAGGATGATCAGGAGAATCAAAGTCCTGCTAAATGAGGAGAAACTGGGAGAAACAGAGCATTTTAGGCATAGATAAGTAAAACCTGTGAAAGAACATGGTTCCTGTCAACAAAAATTGCAGTATTACACTATTATTACAGTAAACAACAATCAAAATTATTGGATCAAGGAAAGCAAACATGTTTTAGTAAAAAAATCATTATACTTAGAATTGCATTTAAGTTTTGGTTTGTAACAGTGCTCTGTATTCTATGACCCAGGTCATTCTTCTAGTCTTACCCAAAATAATGGTCAAAATTCTGTCATTACTAAGTCAAGGCAATATTTCTCTTGAATCCCTCAGTGTGTCCAGAATTCATGCCAGTGACTGAAAGCTAAGTGCAATTTATAATGCTTTGGATTAAACTAGTCTAGTAAATGAAAGTCTGCCTGAAATCCATGCATTTGTGTCTAAGCTCTTCTTTGGGCATAGGGACCCTGTCTGGGGCCTTCCAGCTGACAAACATCATATGCATCAGATTTCATACAAAGCACTACAAATAACCTTCTTCTTAGTGCTGCTGCCTGCAATCAATCTTAAGTGTGTTGAAAAATGATACACATTCAACTGAAATGCAGAGCTGGCTGCAGGTTTTTGCAGGGCTTTGTACAAACGAGTCTTTAGCCAAGTTCCTCCCCAGAAGGACAATCCCTGGCTCTGGACACCAGCTCTTCCCTCCAAGCCCTGGCAACACACCTCTACTCCAACCAAATAACCCAAGAATTTAAAGCAGGCCAAGCTAAGCAAGCTTCTCTGAAGGAGTGCATCCAAGCAAAGAAGGATCATGGAGAGTTTGTTGAAGGAGAACTGTGGTCCAGGCCTATTGTTTTGGTGACATCACAATTCATATCCTCTAAAGATCCTGCCAGACATCTCCTGAGAATAGAGGGAAGTGAAAAACAAGCAGTAAAAAATAAAGCACTCCACCCTCAAGGCCATTCTTCTAAATCAAACAGTGAAAAACATTTTCTCTTGGCTTTGCAGTTTGGTTTGAAAATGGAAATCCCTACTCTTTCAAAATTTCAAGGTGTGAGTCTCACATATTAGGTGTCAGCCTCTGATTGCACTGGAAGTGATTCCATTTGGGCATTAAGAGTTGCTAGTAAGTATTTAGAAGCAGGACAGAATTACCACCTCCCAGCTGCAGTTCTGTTGCCGATTCAACTGTACACACGTGCACATTCATGTGGCTCCCAGTTGGAAATCCTTGTGCAAAAAGTTCATTCTGAGGCTATTTGTGCCTTCTTGCACCTTCTTCAGGGCACCAAGAGCATAGAGGGGCTGTGGCCACTCCACAGCCTCTCCTAACTTTGTGTTGGTACTGCAGGGTGGGAAAAGAACCAGGCAGTGGGAAGCAGAAGGTAGAAACTACTCTGATTATGACATCTCAAGGAATTCCACTGAAAATAATGGTGTTTTTTTCTCTTGACTGTAACCACATGTCTTATTCAGCTGGTGTGGTTCCTGGCACACACCAGACCTGCAGTGCCAACGATGACCAAGTAGGAAGAACAGCACTGCTCCAATGAACCTGGTGCTCCTTCAGCAATTTTGCCAAGAGCACAATGCTTCGAGCAAACCAGCCAGAGAAATCTCAGGCATCCTAAAGACAATGCTGTTATGGGAAATGCTGATGCCATCATCTGTGCTCAGATTAAATGTGACCCTTTGTTGCAATCTTATGGCAGGGGTTCCATGCTGTTGTCTCCTTATCACAAAAGTTTCAGACCTCCTTGGTGTTTCTCGTGGGCAGCTCCTCAGAGCACTGACTCTTTCTCCTTTACAAAGCAGCCAACAAACTCCAGTTCCCTTCCCAATCACCCACCCCACTCTTTTATAGCACTCTTGTCCCATTGGCTGCAGCTCTGGCCTGTTAAACTCAGGCCTGCTCCTAATCTTTGATAATTGGCCCAGCTGTAACTCCTTAGGGGTAAGATTACTTTTTTCACTGTCTTTATTTTCTTATATTCTATCCCTCTACACCCTTTTATTTGGAGGGAGAAACCCTACAGGAAAGTTGTAACATGCAAGAACACAGTGTCAGATCCATTTTGTAAAATTGAGGAATGCTGATTCAGCTTTCTGGTATCACAAGACAGAAAAATATGAGGATAAACCAGAGCTCTGTTAATAGGGGAGCATGCTAACTTCCTCTTCATCAGATACAGTAATTTTGCATGCTTACTGATTTGTTCAGAAAATCCCAGGTTTATTTTGGATAAAATCCAATGCAGCTTTATCACCACTTTTATCACCAATTCCTGTACAAAGCAGGGCATCCAAAAGAACTTGAGCTCTGTTAGTGTGGTAGCAGCAAGGATGCCTGTCCTAGTGGACACCTGGAGTATGTTGGATTGTGCAAGAGATTTCAGGAGTCTTGGGAAGGAGACAGCAGAAACACAGCAGGAATTAAGTTCTCTAATTTTACAAAAGATGTCATGAATAAAATCTATCAGATAGGGCATGATTAAGGTCAAAAATATTCAAATATTATGTGTGCATGATGCATTCATATGCTGGTTCAGAACTATGTTTAGACAGACATGATGTGCACAAGAAAATGTTGTTTTAAGAAAAGGATTTTTTAACAGGATTGCCATAACTTGTGGGAGTTCAAAGCAAGAAATGAGGTTGATATCTGCATAACCTTAGACTTCTGTGATGCAATAATTGCTTATTCAGCTGCTGCAGTGAATATTTTTTGCAAAAGAAAGATAAGCTGAAGAATGCAAAAAAAGCATGATTCCTGGAATGAGAACCCCTGAATTGTCTCTTGTGCAAATGAAAAGCAGGAGTAAAAAGAACTGGATAAATTTCACAGCAGTAGCATTCCAGCTACATCAAAAAGGGAGATTTTTTTTAGGTAACAATCTTCAACAGCAGCTATTCCCCACTGTTGCCTCTATTGGAAAGGCCCAGATACATTCCAGGGTTGGAATGGCTGATCATTACTGATCTGTGGAACAGTTATCAACCTGATGGTGAAACCAAACCAAAGAGACACCTGAGCCTAGGTGGGCTCACCAGGGCAGTGCCAGTCAGCATTGCCTGTTCTTCAGGGCAGCCAATGATGTGACCCTCAAACTCCTTCATTTCCCAGCCCACATAACCACCTAGAGTTTGGTATAGATCTGGAAGTGAGTCCAGGTCAAGGGATCAAAAGAACACCTTCTTATTAAGATGCTTATAATCCTTTAAGCACATGAATTGATTATGTTTGCAAAATGTGGTGCAGATCTTGCCTTTCACTCAATTTACTCTGTAAGAGGCTCAGCACTGTGGAATGTGAGAAAACAAAACATGATCATCACTTCTCAGCACATGAGGATACAGGCAACAGATAGACTCTGTGAGAGCTCAGCACTAACCCAACATGTTTCAGTAACAGTATTTCATGCACAATTTTTGGAACTTGTGAGCACAGCAGGCACCCACTGGTTTAGGTTTCC